GAGACCTATGCAAAAGAAAGTATAAATAATAAAGGAGCAGTGATTGCTATTTTCAGTAAAGTGGAGGGAGAGGAGCCACCTGCCCACAATAATTGTGTTTGTTGGTGGCCTGCTGTGCTTACACCGGACATCCCTGTGGATCCTACCACCTTCATGATTGTGAAGAGCAAGGGGGCCCTTTGCTCCACTAATAGCCATGGAGCCCTTCTCTGTCCTGGACACCCAACAAGTTCCATAGCTATCCATTTTTAAAACCATATTTTCATACAAAAATAGAGGATTTTGACATCAAATTGAAATCGCTATGGTTGAACACAAGCTAACATTCCCAAGCACTAAAAACTTTCTGAGTCAGTAATTTGTATTTGATCCTCTGTTATTCTCTGTCCCATCTCTCTAAGTTAAGACACAGCTTTGCTTTGAAAGTCTACAAGCCATTGGCAGTGGACTTAACATATTGTCTTTTCAAGAAGAGGAAAGAAGGGCCTCTCAGGGTTTTTGAGGAAACTTCTTCCTACTAAGCAACTACAAGTGTGATAAATCACTGCTCCCTTCCTCAGAAAGTCTGGTGTTCTACCAGAGGTAACAGGAGGGGAGGGAGGAGGGAGGGTCCCAGAATAGGCCTTTGTTCACAGGGGATGAACACAGAGTCTGGGAAAGACACCCTTAACCCAGAACTCTTCCTGTAGGCACCACATGACAATTGGCTTCTGTGCTCAGTGGCTCCAGAGTCTCCCTTCTTGACCCACTGCTGAGAGGTATGTTTCTGGGCTCCCACAGCCCTCCCATCACTGTGTTCCTTACACAGTATTTCTCAGCCATGTCTTCAGCATCCAGGCAGGTCAGCTGCAGGGAGAACTGTTTCTTGGCCAATAATAACAGTGAATGGAAATGTCCCTCTGAAAAGCCAGGTTATACCTTCTGCGCTCTGATTAGCACCACACCTTTCCAGCCATTCCCCATGACCCTACAGGATCCTGTTTCAGTGGTAACTGCTGGGGATAGAAGCCTGGAGACAGAGCAGGTGAGGGACATGGCTGGGAGGGCTGCATAAGTCCAGGGCCTGACTCCTGCATCACCAACTCAGCTGGAACCTTGGGACCAGAAGGCACACAGCGAGTCTTTCTCCTCCACAGTCAAGCTTCAATATACCCTGCAGCCCGAGAAAATCATCAGGGAGGCTGCCAGCAGGCGGAATGTGGTCCAGAGGACTGACTGATGGCTGTCTGATGGATGAAGACCACCACAAGCCAAACCTGCTGCCCTGTTTGCTCTGAGAGATCTGGGAGGATGTGCATTTAGCCCAGGTGGCTGAGTAGAGTGTCACTCACGTGGACTTCCTGGCACTCAGTGCTTGGGCCGGGG